TCTATGTTGTGGGAAGAATTCCACAGGTTGGTTAGTGCGCCTAGAACTTGTACTCTTGTTTTCTGCCTCTCTTAAGTCGTTCCTATTTTTTTCATTTTGTTAGCTACGTTTTCTTGATTTCAAACGAATAACGCAAGCCGAGCGTAAGCAAGCTCGATCTTTTGTGAAACACCTTTCTCCTCTTGCCGTAGCAGAAGTAAATAACAAAACTAAGACGAGCGCAGTTAAGACATTTGTTCCTGGCGCTCCTGTTGGGTCGAAAGCCGCTGGTGATGATGGTTCTGAAGTTGCAAAACCTCCCCAACAGAAGCATCCAACGAGCAGCCAACCCAGGGAATTTCCGCAGGCCACCCTTCATGCCGGTGTTAAGCGAGTTATGTTGAGTGGTGGAAGTAATCAGGACCTAATGGCTATCCAAGATGCTATTAAAAAAGCCAAAACGATGGATGAAGTTGAGCGTCTACATCAAATGCTCAGCAGTGGACAGTTTGCTGGATTCGCAGCCCACTGGCACAAGCAGCAGAAGCACTAACCGCATACCTGCCTCCGTCCAATTTTTGTCCGTTTTGTACAGTTTCGATCATAGAAAAAAGTCGATAGTCATATTTGCATTTTGCATATTTAAAAAATCAGAAAGATTATTGGAATCGTGTTAACCCAAAAAAAGAGACCTCAGGGTCTACGATCTCGGAAGACCAGTTAGAGATGGGGAGGAAGAGTAGAACAGGGCGATCGTTGTAAACAGTATTGCACCTGGTTGGAAGAGAGGTTGATAGCCTGGGTCGGGGTGGAATGAACTAGCCGGGCCGCCGAGAGGACGACTTTTCAGTAGGGGGAGGGGTGGACGTGGACGTACTGCTGCTCCCGCCTCCGCCGGTGCTGCCACCACCACGGGAGAAGTAGCTGGAGACCTGAGATTGGAAACGTCGCCACTGCTCACCCGGACTGACCGATGCCGGCGGAGCTGTGTGTGACCGATTCGGCGTAGGGGGAAGGGACGTCACGGAGGGAGTGTTACTTCGTCGCAAACTGTGGGGATGACGGCGATGGACTCGGTGACTGCTCTCTACAGTATCCTCATTATTCTGCAGCGCAAACGCAGAAAATCGCACAACTTTGCAGTTTTGAGGAGTTGGGATCTCATTCGGTCTGTCGGCTGGCCTGCAAAGCAACAGCCACCAAGCTAGCAGTCCTCGATCTCTACGCGGTTCCATGCTTATCAAACGACTAGTGCACGTCACAGTCGATGAATGAGGAGTATCAGTGAGGGATATAAATAAATTTGGCCTTAGTGAAGACGCAATCTAAAGGCATAATTATGGAAAATAGGCTGCCAACCGGAAATTAGTTTGCCAAAAATAACAAGAGACGAGGTAGGCCATACGGCTTGTCACCGTGTATGAATCACCTGAATTACCAACACTCGGCAGAGGCAATTTTGGGTTTGTGCACCAACTACGAGACGGAGTTTCTGTTGGCAGCAATAACAGCTCCAAATGAACTCCACACACCACAAACAATTTTGACTGGTGCGGAGTCCTGATTATCTTTTCATCTCT